ATACCGAGAATCCCTATACTAGCACTGTAGAGTGCGGGGATAAGACCGCCTATTTAGTATTAGATACAAATGTCAAAGGAGGAATCAATAAATGGCAATGTGTTAAACATCCTAACATTATACCTACGATAGAAGGTCGTCCTGGACCTTGTCCCTGTACCACCTTCTACCAGTCTATGCACAGTTCATGTTACTCATCATTTCTAAAGTGTACTTACAATCAAAAAACATATTTTACCGCCATCTTAAATAAAAAAAGACCAGGCAGTGCAGGAGGAGACTGGAGTGACACCCAAGTTCTCGGGTCAACAAATAAACTTATGACCGCGGGATGTCAAGGTATAGTCGGTCGACCCGTATGTTGGGAAACGACACCCCCAGTGCATATATCTGATGGTGGTGGTCCACAGGATCAAGTCAGGCAAATTCAAGTACAAGAACGTATTGAACAGATTATCTAAAATCAATATCCCAGCCTTGATTACCACCCTTTGGTAAAGATTACCTCTAATAGAAAAGAGATTATAGATACCCAAACCCTGGATATATTAATGGCCACTTATAAATTAATTAATACCTCCAACCCTAGTTTAGCACAAGATTGCTGGTTGTGTTTGCAACAAGGATCCCCAGTCCCCATAGCTATTCCTGCGTATAATTACATTTTATATGGATAATTATAGTTGTTTACCTACTCCCCCCTTTTTAGTTCAACCTGTAGAGCCTTGGAACGTTACATGTTTCCGTAAACCCTATCAAAATAATAGCTTCAGCTTGGTTGTAGGACTGGTAACATTTGCTGATTGTAAGGAGTATTTTAACATATCTTCTGAGTTGTGTGCTGGTAATTCAACAGTGCTTGTGTGTGGGTCCAATCTTGCTTATACCTATTTACCTGAAAATTGGACTGGGAGTTGTGTGATTGCTACCCTTCTCCCTGATGTTAGCATTATCCCTGGAACTGAACCAGTGCCTGTACCCAGTTTTGATCATATTGCTGGCAGGCATAAAAGAGCTGTACAACTTATTCTTTTATTAGTAGGATTGGGAGTTTCTGGAGCCCTTGCTACAGGCTCTGCAGGCCTGGGAATAGCAGTACACAAGTATGCAAAATTGTCTAAACAGTTAATTGATGATGTACAGACATTGTCTGGTACCATACAAGACTTACAAGATCAAGTAGACTCTCTAGCAGAGGTGGTACTGCAAAATCGAAGAGGGTTGGATTTACTTACTGCAGAACAGGGCGGTATTTGTTTGGTTTTACAGGAGAAGTGCTGCTTTTACGTCAACAAATCTGGAGTTGTCAGAGACAAGATCAAGAAATTACAAGAGGACTTGGAAAAACGTAGAAAAGAACTCCTTGAAAATCCCTTATGGAACGGCCTTAATGAATTCCTCCCTTATTTGCTCCCCTTTTTAGGACCTATGCTCGGCTTATTAATTTTACTATCTCTAGGCCTTTTCAACAAATTAATGGCCTTTGTAAAACAACAAATAGACGCTGTGAAGATGCAACCATTACAGGTCCATTATCACAGATTAAACATGAATGATTTTGATGATTGTGATGGGCTGGATAGCCAACGACGGGTAAGAGTGGAAGCCCCCGCACCAACCTAAGACAGGGATTGTGGCAAAGTATCCACGAATCCTGATGACGGGTAAGGGCAGGGAGGTGTATCTGCCAACCTAAGACAGGCACAGCCCCATAAATACCTGTGTTGATGAAATAAAAAAGGGACCTGTGGGGAGCCAGGATTTATGCCCCATGAATTGCTTATCTTGGAGACAGCAGTCTTTGACAAACAAGAAGGCCTTTACTTAAATCTTTCCTTTACTTCCTGCCCTGACCCTTACTGCACTACCCACGCCTTAATCTTTCAAAAGGTGCATTGTGAGCTTTCCAGCACCAATCAGAGAAGCCCTCTTGTTAGAGGACTAAAAAGGAGGGACTTCCCCTTTAGAAGAAACTGGAAAGTCCCAAAACCTCCCCAATCAGCTTTTGCCAGATCTGTACGCGCGCCCTTTTTCTACCTATTAGACACCTGTTATTTTTAAACCTGCCTTTTGTACCAATCATTAACGTCCAACACCACCTTATGTAACTGCCTTTTGAAAAACGTCACTTTTAGTATATATACTTCACTCTGAATCTAATAAAGCTGAGACTTGATCAGAATTCCTGTCTTGTCTCCATTTCTCGTGTCTTCTGTCCCATCTTCCTCAATCCCTCCCTCAGGGTCTCCGTTGATTGACCTGCGGGCCGGGTCAGTGTAGGGACGTTGGCCAACCTACCCACTGTGCTCTTTGTATGAAACATAACTGGAGCCTGAAAAGACTAACAAGGGCATGAACCTGAGTGACCAATACTGATAGAACAGGACTCCCTCCATAAGGTACATGGGTACCTGAAGAGACAGGTCTACAACATTCTAAAATTTTGAGAATATTTTCCTTGGGGGGGTGTTGTTCTTACAGATGCTCAACAAAGTCTGTGATCCTATAGGTTAAAGTCCTGAGTTAGAGAAAAAGACTGACCCAGTTGCAAGCTAGAAAAGAGCTAGCTGAGTTTGAAAGCTCTCAAATTTGTCGGTAAGAAAACTGGAACATGGACTCAAAGCAGACAACTGAGCTCTTGTTCGTGTATACTTACAATTGTATTTAAAGTTCTTTCTAAGATAAGGCCCTAGGACCCCCAAGTCAAGTATGCTCCTGAGTTGGTCCACTGCTGCAGGGATCTTGGAGAGCATTATACACATGCTTGGGCATTCACCAACATTAAATCCCAGGATAGAAGATGTGACAAAGCAGACCTCTGTCCTCAGTGACAACCACGAGTCCTCTGCTGACTTCAGTGGAGGCACTGGCCATGTGGAAAACACTGGAATTTTTCCTTGGGACTAGTGTATGTTTTGACAGGTGTCTGCCATGCCCAGCACCCACTGTCTTTTCTCCTCCAGTTCCTGAAGACATACAGAAAATAATCTCTTTGAAGATACTTGATGACAATTCAGAAAACAGAAATACATGCCTCCAATATACTGTGCTTTCAGATATTCTGAGGAAGAAAAATACAACTGCATTAATAAAAATGTACTGCAATGTGGCACCTAAGAATGACAACAATAAAAAGCAACAAAATACAGACTTAGATCTTCATATCCATTTGCAATTAGTTTTTACTATTATTCTCTCTCCATTTCCAGCTAGATTACCACAAAAATAGGGTATTTTGTTACTCAACATTTTAAAGCCTGTAACTCTTGAGAGACAGAGCCCTGTATACTAAATGTGACATCCACTGTTCCAAGCACCTCTCCATCCATTAGACTTGTAAATACCAATGCAAGCATTATTCTCAAACATGGGTAAGTGCTGAGGCACAGCCCCATTAAAACCTAGCTTGACAGGCAGTTTTCAGGACAGCCTCACCTGGGTCTAGTTCAGCTGCCGAATGAGTTGATTGATGCGTTCACCACGGTAGCCAGGTGAGCCCATTTCCTTGAGAAAGCCCACTTTATTCTTGGTAGCATGACGGGCCACCGAGAGATGGAAGGGGTGCAAGAACTGTGAGATCACCTGGAAATACTTTCCCGGGAAGGCAATTTCATGAATGAGATCTTCTAAGCAAATGACACCAAACTTCCCTAAGAAACAAGGGAAAAGATTCCTTTATTCAACATTAAGTGGGCATATGATGAGAGCCTCCTACATGCCCAAGCTGGGTACTCTGGCAGGTTCTTGGCAGGGCTTGAACTGGTTCTTACCATTTCAGTCTTGGCTGACAAAGGGAAACCAGAACAGATCTGAATTTGTGAAGGAAAAATCTGAAGGGGAAAAATGTAGTCGATTCTGCTAAAAACTTAATTTTCCACTTAGAAAACTAAGGCAGCATGGGCACTGCATAGCAATCAAATCTCTTGACAAGCAGAGCTAGAAACAGTGGTGCCGAGCTCAAAGATGGTGGCTGACTGCTCCACTTGAATATGCGTCGCACTCTACCATCCTGGCAATAATCCAATTTCTGGCACCAGGCTCCTGAAAGAACTCACTACTCCTCTTCTGAGTCTCCTGTTCCAGAGCTTTGATCTGTAATTTTTCCTGCTCTAGTACCTCCACATTTTACAAATTTGAGTCTGTTCTGATTTGATCGTGTTGGCCATGAATGAAACAGTTTGATCTTGGGACCTTGCATCACCACCACCAAAGACCCTGCTTTCTGCCAACTGACCCCTAAGTTGCAGCACTCACCCAGGTGCTCCTCAATAACTGTGTTGTCTGTCAGTGGGAAGATCTTATTCTTGACCTTGGCTTGTCCACGTTTTAGGATGAGTTCCCGGACAGACTTCAGATTTGGAAATCTAAGTGAGAAGAATAAAGTACAGCTTTAGCTAGCCTCTGGCACACTGCATCATATTGGCCACTTAGGTCTGCAGTGTGGTCAAGGAGAGAGATGAAAGAACCAAAATGGTCCTGACTATGTAATTAACAGGAATTAAAGTTTACCGGTGTAAATGTTCATCAGGCAAAAATAAAACTTGTTCTGGTTTACAAAGTCTAAGATTTTGGCCATAGGTAAGCCTCTACTCAAGATGGCACAAAAGCTAGAAATTAAACCCAAACCTGTTGAGTTTTAATGCTTGAGATTGATATATTTAGGCTTGTCTATTCTTCTGGAACCATGCTTCTGTTACACAAGCACTGACCAAAATTCTGCTTCAACACTGTGAGAATTAATCTCTCCTTTACCCACCTTACTCAGCCTTAGCTTACAACTGCACAAGTCCTGTCATAGTACTGTGCTGACCATTATTAGCAGTACTGATCCTTCTCCCCACAACCTGCTGCTCCAAGATCCAAGGTTCTTAGGACCACCAACTGCTTTCTGTTGACTTTGTGGCCACAGCGAAATATTCCCTCAACACCTTCAAATACACTCTAACATCATTATCCAAAGAAAATCTTACCCCCATGTCACATAAGGTTCCACCATACGCAGCATTTTTAGGGTTACAGGGGTTACTTTGACAAAGACACCACTGAAAATCTTCTTTAGGCGAAGTCTTGCAATGGTCTTCCGCACCAGAAAACTCACCCCATTAATCCTGAAGTGGACAAAGGCAAAAAATTCAGGCTGTTTATGTCAGACCAGCAAATGCTTGTAAAATCTGTGCCACTACCCTAGGTACCCAGAGAGTAAGACACACACTCTTCCTTCAAGAGCTGTTTAGTGGGAGGCACTTAAGAGATCATGGACAATGGTAGGAGGGCAAAAGAGGGGAAAAACAAACAAACTCACTCACTGCCATCGAGTCCATTCGGACCCATAACGACCCCCTTTGGGTTTCTGAGGCGGTAAACCTTTATGGAAGTAGACTGCCCAGTCTTCCTTCTGTGGAGTAGCTGGTGGAGTTGAACCACCAACCTTCTGGTTAGCAGTCAAATTCCTTAGGCAGTTCGCCACCAGAGCTCCATAAATATTTAAAACCCAAAGGATTCTGGTTTGGGAGACGAAGTAGAATAGAAAGAGACAAAAAGTTGCATTTACCGGTCAGGATGGCTAAGGAATGAAGAACAAATTATGGAAAAGGCTTTTTTGTGCATTCTCCTCAGCACTGGCTAGGCTCCAACCACTTGGCCTTGTTTCAGTTCGTAAAAAGGTGCCTTGATGCCCTCACCTCAGGACTTTTGCATCTCTGCCTGGAAAGCCTTTCCCAACACTGGGAACTCCTTTCACATCTTTAGGTCTCAGCTTCAGGAGAGGGTAGGCCCCCTCCCTTACCCAGAGCATCCTGGACTTTACCCTCATGGTACTTAGTTTATTTGCGTAAGGACAGGTTCCCTAACCTTGAAGGCAAAAACTATGTCTGTTTTGCTTAACTCTGAATTCCTAGCACAATTTGTTTTAGCAGCTTAGGCCCTACCACCTCCTCATCTCCATCCAAAGCGTTCTAAAGTTGAAGCAATGCTTTGCTCTAGTCCCACGGGTTTAAGATACTAGTCCATACCTTTGGATGCGTACTACAAAGGCCAAAGAATGTCCATCTGGAACTTCCAAGCCGTGTGGTTTCACTTCTAGTCGTCTGATACGCACCCTGTCACGTTGTTGTCGTCGGGAATCAAGTAGGAATGATTCTAGTCGCTTAAACCTGAGTCCTTTCCCTTTCCTCTGCTACAGAGAAAACAGACCATTGTCACCATTTTCTGCCTCCATTTGTCATGAGTCACTATCAACAGAACTAATTTTCCCCTGTGCTCTGCAAATAGGAGCAAACATCCTTGATTTTTAATATAAGGAAAAAGTGGGAAATCCAAGTAAAAGGTGAAATTGAGAGGACTCAGAAATTACTGAGGAAAGTCCTTGATAAATAAAACATGAGCTTACATGGTGCTAATCAATGTTTACCAACAAGTGTTTATGGAACTTAACATTGTGACAGGCATAAAACTGTACAAAACAGGACTAAGCTAAAATTTCTGCCTTCAAAATACCTATGTACTTCTCCCCAAAAATATTTAGCAAATACCAAAAGTGGCACATCTTTTTTTTCCTATAACTTGTTTTCTGCTCAGTACTCTCCAATTACTCAAAATGAACCTAGAAGGTAGAGTCTTCACTCCCTCTTCCTTAACAAACTCTATTCCACAGCTCTGGCCACAGGTGTTAAATAAATATTTGCAAAACGAGGACAAGAACCATGTAACTGATGTAATCAAACTGATGAGGGAGAGGCTAGTCGATAGGAAATGGTTTAAACATGTTGGATAAAACCAAATACAAATTCTAATTCCTTCCTCCCGGTTCTCTACCATTACCTTCTTCCTTTCCAGAAGTGCCTGCTTTGCCTGGGTGGCCTTGAGAGCCTGATAAGCCTTCCGCTTCTTCAAGAGATTTTCTGGAACCAAAGGGATTTTTTTTCTTGGCCTGACACAATTAATTTGAGATAATGGGTAACAACATTTAGGAAACGAATCTTCAATGGAGTTTCAAACCAACTCAATATTCTGGGCTTTGGGGAATATTCGGAAAATTCCTAAGGACTGAGCCTCCCCTGAAACTTGTAGATTTTGACTCCACTCTTCAAAACGGACCCCCTAATACTCATTCGTCCTCGGAGCCTGAAGAACCCTTTGGCTACTCGCCTCACATACGTCAATGTAGCTTTTACTAAAGTCTTTCATAAACACTAGCAGCGATGAGATTCTAATAAAACCCTGTGGGGTTGGGGCAGGTACAGACCCATCTACAGGATGAATACAGATGTGGCCAAGTGGACCCAACTCTGGTACTCTCTACGCCTCTGTATCAAAGTAAACACTCTCCGCTCTAAGTAACCCGAACTTGACGGCAGCCCCCTCTACCCGCCCAAACGAGCCCTACAGCTCCTATGCCCTGCAATCTAGAGTCTTGTCTCTTTCTACAACCCAAAAGTATCCTTATTTTTCCCCACTGAAGCATAAAGACTACAGATGGCACCGGATGCTCAACAACCCACTTCAGATAGTCAAAACCCGAAACACTTACTCTTCCTCCGCCATCTTTCCAATGCTGCCGTTATTGCTCATGCGCAGCCCCACCACATGGGAACACGAGGAACCGCTCTATGTTCACTTGACCATAGAGTTTACTGTATTCTAGCTCATGCTGGAGGACCCTGGCAGCCGAGGCTCTCTGAGCGGTAGTGAACCGCCGAGAAGAGGTCTTACTAGTCCTGATCGCTGCCAAGAGTCGCACAGAACTTCACTGGCAATCCTTCGCAGCTTTTTAGAGCTTATGTCATTTTCAAAATCCAGTCCCTCTCGTTTAAGCTATAGTCTCGTAATGCTGGTGGCTTGGCTTGGTTGTAAACAGTGAAACACTTCCCACAATGCGTGTACGACTTCCGCTGTAGCGCTGGCGCCAGCCCCTCGAGCTCCTGCTCAGCTGTGTGACTTCTGAAAGAAAAACAGACAACTTCGAGATAGCCCTTCAACAGGGTAGAGAAACCTGGGGTCTGTGGCTTTGGCTGTCACGTGGATGGAGGTGTTTGTGGACGACTCAGGGTGATAAAGAATGTAACTCCAATTCCATTTGTCCTGTTACATCATCGTGCCTTTATGCAAGTTACTTAACCCCTTTGTAACTTGGCTTCCTTATCCATAAAATGGGTATAATAATGGGCCTACCTAATAGCATTGCGAAGATTATATGAGATATTCTATATAAAAGGTTTAGCACAGTGTCTGACATATGGTAAGCAGTCAGCGTTATATTAGTCACTATTACTGCTGGACTGAAAACTAAACATGCCTCCCTGCCATCTCAAAACCTCCCCTCATAGCTCTCACCGCGTGGAAAATGCTTTCTCTCCAGGTCTTCCTCAAATCATGAGAAACAAGTCAAGTCCTGTCTTTAGAAACTTCCAGAGCAGTGCTTCACAAGGATTAACGTGCATTCCAGACATCCCAGAATCTTGTTAAATACAGATTGTGATTAAGGCGTGGGGTGAAGAAGTTGGGGCACAGAAAAAGGGAGTGAGGGAAAGGTATTAGAGTTTAAATTCTGAAGCACTTGGTTTGTAGAAGGCTGTGGTCTGCAGTGAGAGCCCTGACTCCATTTTGAGGCTTGACATAAGTGTTAGACGCCATTTGGGTTCTTTCTGATTGTTAAACCAGCATTGTGGCTAAGCTTAGACAAGTTCCAGGGCAACCCTAGGGAGGGGCAGTTTGCCTTCAGGAAGACTATGGTTGAAGGTAGATTGTTGTTGTTGTGTGCTGTCCATTCATGTCCGACTCATAGCGACCCCTCCTTGGGTTTCCGAGGTGGTATCTCTATGGAAGTAGATTGCCCAACCTTCCTTCCGAGGAGTGGCTGGTGGATTTGAACCCCCAGCCTTCTGGTTAGCAGTCAAGTGCCTTAAACACTGCTACCCAAGCTCCCATGAAAGTAGATGAGGCTCACACAAAGAATTAGGGAACTGCCTGAGTGTGTCCTTTTCTAATTTAAATGAACGTTGGGGTCTTCCTATTGTTTGGTAGCCACCTTGTGGGTAAGACTCAAGCTGTATGGTCATGAATGACAGCCTATCCAGACCATCACCTAGCCAGATAGACAAGGCCTGGAAACCTTTGCTAGCTTCAGTTATGTTCGTATCCCTGTCATGGTTCTGTAGTACTGCCTGCAATGGTGATTAATGGATCTGCCACCACTCATGATTTTGTGATAATTCCTTTTTTTCAACCGTATACAATTAGCCCCATGGTCATGACTCAGCAGACTCCATCCAGCATTTTTTTACTGTGTACATGCTGATGTTTTCCCTCATCCTGGATGATTGTCTTTGTTTTTTTGTCCTCCTGTCCAAGACTTAATAAAAGTGTCTCTATTGAACCTGTTTGAGTCTGGGGTCTCTTTTCCCCTATTATAGTATGTATTGATATGCTGTATTTCTGACATGCTTCAAAGTGACGCTGCTGCTGCTGGACTATGGATTGTACTTTGACTAGCAAGGATCAAGACTCATTTCTTTTTCTGAATTCCCTCAGCACATTATTTTTTTAAACGAATCTTACCCAGGATACAAGCAGGGATCATGCCTGCCTTGCTCATCACTGATCCTAGGGTTGTTTTTTTTTTAAAAAAAATAAAATAAAACAAACACTGCGGTCAAGCCTGATCCGACTCATAGTGACCCATTCTTGGGTTTCTGAAGGCGGTATCTCTATGAAAGTAGATGGTCCAATCTTCCTTCTGGGGAGTGGCTGGTGGGTTTGAACCACCAGCCTTCTGGTTAGCAGTCAAATGCCTTAGGCACTAGGCCACCAGAGCTCCCTCCTAAGTGTTTAGTGTGGGATTTCTCAATCTCTGACACTATTGACATTTTGTCATCATTGTTGGGTATCGTCAAGTCGATTTTTGACGCCATGTGACAGAGAACTGCCTTGTAAGTTTTCCTAGACTGTGATCTTTGAGGCCAGCTAATTCTGTGTTAGGAGCTCTGGTAGCATAGTGCCTAAGGCACTTGACTGCTAACCAGAAGGCTGGAGGTTCAAACCCACCAGCCACTCCTCGGAAGGAAGGTTGGGCAATCCTACTTCTGTAGTGATACTGCCTCAGAAACCGAAGGAGGGGTCGCTATGAGTCGGGTCCAACTCGACGGCACACAACAACAACAATTCTTTGTTGGAGTCCCTGGCTGGTGCAAACGGTTAACGGGCTTGGCTGCTAACCAAAAGATTGGCGGTTTGAGTTCACTCAGAGGTGCCTTGGAAGAAAGGATTGGCCATCTACTTCTGAAAATCAGCCATTGGAAACCCTGTGGAGCACAATTCTAATATGACCTACATGGGGTCACTATGAGTGGCAATCTACTAGATGGCAACTGGTAATTCTTTGTTGTAGGAATTGTCCTGTGCACTGTAAGATGTATAGCCCAATCCCTGGCCTCTACTTCCTAGATGCCAGTAGCTCCACTCCTCCAGCCAAAAATGTCTCCAGGCTTTACCAAATGTCTACCATAATGTAGGTATCTATCCTAAGAATCTAGGGCAATGTCATTATTTGACAGTCAACATTTACAGGCATCACTAAAGACTTTATCCCGTACACTGTTTGCCTTATTGACTATTTCTTTAACTAGATCGGGTGCTCTTCGATAGCAGGAAACTTGTCTTACACTTCTCTGTATCATTTACAACACCCATCATAACAATGGCTATCACAGCTCCTACACCCGGATGGATAAATGTCAAAGGATAACACAACCTCAGGGTCAACTACTATGACATGAGGTTCATTATCACTGACTCAGTACCTTTCCTTGCAAAGAAACAAAAATAGACGGATTAATTGAATAGTATATGAGGAATGAAAATATCAATCCTTTGTAACTTCCACTGTCTACAGATAAAAGTGGTACTGATGAAAATACAGGCAAGAAGTGGAGAGAGCACACAGGGAGGAAATGGGAAGAGTGCTGTTAAATGGTGGGGATTGCAATCAGTGTCACAGAACGTTTATGAACTGTTGAATGGAAAACCAACTTGTTCTGTAAACTTTTACCACCCCTCCTCCTAAAAGAAGTGATACTAATGGTATTGAAGGGCAAAGAAATTTCAGGGATATTATTAATGCTATTTCCAAGGGGCCTCGGTGGTCAAGGACTTAGCTGCTAACTGAAAGGTTAGCATTTGAACCCCTTAGCTGCTCCGTGGGAGAAAACTCACTGCCAGTGAGTCAGAGCCAATTCACAGTGACCCCTCCTTGGGTTTCCGAGGCAGTATCTCTACGGAAGTAGATTGCCCAACCTCTTCCTTTCCAGGAGTGGCTGTAGGTTTGAACTGCCAGCCTTCTGGTTAGCAGTCAAATACTTTAGGCATTACACCCCCAGAGCTCCCAAATGGAACTTTTGAGGGCGAGGATTCAGGAAATAGTTGTTGCTTTTCTGATGCCAGCAGATGGTGCTAGGAGAACAGTATTTCCAGAGTCAAAGCTAAAGAGAAAAAGAGAAAGCCTTTTTCAACCAAAAAATCGTTGACTAATTCAATACTGTTTACTGATTACTGACCATGTGCTCTAGCTACATTTTTTCTTTCCAGATTGAAGTTACTGAATGAGAATGAGGTATGGCCATTTACTTCAAGGAATTTACAGCTTCAAGAATGTTACTCTTTTTAGTTTGTTTTCATAGGCCTCTGTTCTCTTCTTAGCCACTTCAGTTGTCCATCATTAAAGATAGTTAAATAAGTTACGGAAGATAATACAGTTATTAAAAACAGTAAGCAAAATTTTCAAATCCTGAAATCTCAGTGGTAGATGTTTTTAAGTTTTGGCCTGCTGACATCCGTCCGCATTTCCTAATGGTAACTCACTCCTCTTATGGATTATCTCTCCTCCATCGTGTACAATCCTGTGTGTGTGATATGAAATCCAAATTTCTTGACCTCCCAGTACGTAAATTGAAGGAATCGTTGAGGGAAGAAGAAATTTCAGGGGTATTATCTTTTCAACTCTTCTCACCTCACAGGTTTAGACCCTATTTGTACCTCTGGGATTTTAAATCTTGAGCAATGATTGATGGAAGAGGTTTTGGGCAAGCAATTTTTTTTTTTCTTTTTTTAATAACACTTTTCTTTCTTCTTAATTTTAATCTTCTATGCTGCTGATTAAGAAGCTCTGGTGGTGCAGTGTCTAAAGCATTTGACTGCTAACCAGAAGGTTGGTGTTTCCAACCCACCAGCCACTCTGCAGAAGGCAGATGGGGCAATCTACTTCTGTAAAGATTTACCACTTTGGAAACCCAATGGGGGTCCCAATGGGAGTCAGAATCGACTTGATGGCAGTGAGTTTGTTTTTTGGCTTTAGATGCTGTTGGTTTGTTAAAGAAACAAGTCATATGTGCTAAGAAATGCCTAAAGTTCTTTTATTTTTATTTTTCCCTTCACCCAAGTTAATATTAATATGTATCTACCTTCTAGTTAGTGGTTTACCCTCCCTTCCCCTTCCACTCCTGGTAGCCATCAAAGAATATTTGTGTGTGTGTGTGTGTAACCCTCTTGACTTTTT